GTAAAGGCTATAATTTGGTAAAACTGTCTAATTATTGGACTGGGCTAGCTAACAGCAACCTGATATAGGCTGCACTGTTGCATTAAGAAAATGCTTGATCCCGCATGAGATGTTCAGCGAATGGAATTGATCTCGTCATTTGCTTTAAAATACCAGAGCCAATCTGAATGGAGAACGACATAGAGGCCTTTTGCAATCCAGTAGATATTGTGGAGCTCTGTAGGATTTATGCCTAGTAAATGGAAGAAAATTAAAGAAAAGAGCTCATCAAAAAATGGGATGAAAATTTCTGCCTTTTCATAAATTGCTGTTCTGTTCATTATAAACTGCCCATTCATTAAAGGCCATTGTTGTGTTGGGACAAGAGAGAGGCTGTTGCAGTGGCTGGGGAACATTAATCTTTCAGCAAAGATATTGCTTCATTTCTTAGCCAATGCACAGGTTTAAGCCCTTGCAACTGGGAGACAAATTGCTGTAAGCATGTGCCCATGGGTGGCACAGTGGCTCAGTGGTTAACACTGCTGCCTTACAGCGCCAGGGACCCAGGTTCAATTCCATCCTCAGGAGACTGCATGTATGGAGTTTGCACTTCTCCCTGTGTTTATGTGAATTTCCTCCCACAGCCCAGGAATGTGCAGGCTAGATGGATTAGTCATGGGAAATGCAAGGTTATAGGGTAGGGATGTGGGTCTAGGTGGGATGCTCATTGGAGGGTCGGTGTAGCCTTGATGGGCGAAGTGGCCTGCTTCCACACTGGAGGGATTCTATGATTCCTACTCCAGAAACTCGGGCATAATAATCTCAGGTGACATTGAACTGGTAGCTACACTGTTAGAGGCGCCACATTTGGACTGGTAGTGTAAACACAGGGGCCCAAAATCCAGAGGCCCCCAAATAAAAATAAACATTCCTACACATTATTTCAATGGAAAACAGGAGAGTCTTCCCTGGCATTTATCCCCTAATCAACACCTGAATGCACATAATCTAGCCATTATATCGTTGTTATTTGTAGGAGCTTGCTGTGTACAAATCGGCTGCTGCATCTCCTATTTTACAAGTAGCTACATTTTCAACACAGCTTCACTTTAAAGAGCTTTGGTACATCCTCAGGTTGTGAAAGATGCTATAGAAATGCAGATCTTTACTTTCATGGATGGGAATTTCTAAAGTGGTGTCTTATAGTGGCTTGAAGATGGTCAAGCAGTCAACAAGATGAACCAAGGAAATCGCTTCAAATTAAATTGCGTGAGTGCAAGATCAACACAGATTCAAAATATGAAAGAGAAGGCTGGTACCAAGCCCTCATTGCAGAGTGATTCTGTCTGTCGGTCAGTTGGTTGCACTTTGTAACACAGACAAGAACAAAAAAATAAGATTGCTAGCAAGAGGGTTCTTACGGTGCAGTGGTAACACCCCTGAAAGACCTGGGTTCGAGTCCCACCTGTTCCAGAGGTGTGACATTATATCTCTGAACAGGTTGGTTAGCGACATTTTTAATTGATATCAGGAAGTCTCTCTTTCAGAGTGAGACCGATGCTTGGGGTTGTATATTACACTTTCACTCCGTTCCCTGGGATGTTTGAAGGTGGGGGTGTATACAAAATCTAGCACATGACCTTCCCAGCTCTGACATGCCTGAACCTTTACAAGGGACAAAGGATACCTTGTGCATTTTACACAGGCCACACAATGGAGGAGGACCAACAGCTTGGGCTCCTCAGACCGGAGTGAGGGTGGGGGTTTGGTGAGAACATCCTTTTCAGGCCTACTAGGGCCATCAAAGGCTATTCCCAAGCACCCTCAACCTCCTGAACAAGGTCAGTCTCCACCAACATAACCTCCCCACCCCCCGATCACTGGAACCCAGCTTCACATCCCCTTTTCACACCTCTCACCTCGGCCCCAGAACATGGATTTACTTGAGCTCCTCCCCAGAGCAGGACTGCCTGTAGTCCCAGCACAGACAGCTGAACTTGGTGCTGTTGGGACAACAGAGATGTCAGCCATACGATTGGCTGATAGCTCTCTCAGTCGGGACCTCTCCCGAAATAGGGGCATAAGGCTCACCTTAAAGCAACGAGCACTATTCCCAGTGTTAAATTGCTGCAGGGTAGCCGTTTGGATCATGGATAGGTTCTCCCCTGACCTTTTAGCCAGAGGATGGTGACTGCAGCAAGCGATAAGATCCAGCTTTTGGAATTTACCTCCAGATTGAACTGTGGGGGCACTAGAATCAGCGAGGACTCAATGGGGCATTGGATGAATGCATGAAGGCATGGATGGATGAATGAATGGAAAGGAGTGAGAAATAAATAATAAAATAAATCTGCCCATTACTGCTTTTGGTTTTGGTCAGGCTATTAGGAGGAAGCCTCCTGTTCTTCTTTGAAATGATGCGTTGGGAGCCTTTGTATCCAGCTGAAAGGACAGATGGGACGTCCAGCTTTGTAGTTCATCTATACTGTCACTATTGCAGCACTGCGTACAGGAATGATTGTGAGGTAGTTTTCTGGAATTATATCTTCAGGAACTAAATAAGGTACAGGACAATTTATATCTGGCCTCATGCAATGAGAAAGGGTTAATTAATAATTGTGTTGCAAATGAATCTTTAGGGCATAGTGAATATAATACAACAGAATTTTACATTGAACTACTTTTTTTTAAACAATCTGAAATTAGGGTCTCAAATTTTATCAATAGCAGTAATGAAGTTATGAAGAGGAAGTTGGCTATGGTGAATTAGAACAGTCCATTAAAAAGCTGGATAAGCAATAGCTAATATTTAGTAATTAATACCAGGTTATCACAAATAAAACAATTTTTGTTAAATCAAAAATAACCAGAGGAAAAATGAGACAGCCATGGCTGACAAGGGAAGTTAAAGGCAGTATTAATTTAAGGAGGAGCTTATAAAGTTACCAAGAATGTTGTAACTCTGAAGATTGGGACAATTTTAAAACTCAGCGAACTAAGAGCAAGAAATTGATAAACAAAAGGAAAACAGAATAGGAATGCAAATTAACAAGAACAATAAAAATGGATTGTAAAAGCTTCTGAAGGTATGAAAAATGGAAATAATTTGCAAGGACAAATGTTTATACATTATAAGCAGTAGCAGAAGAATCTATAATAGAAATGGCAGAGAAAATAAATAAAGCCTTTCTGTCTATTTTCAAGATATTTCTCTGAAATAATTATGAGCTATTGGTGTAGTGAGACACTTGCTGAAAGAAATCGCCGGTAATAAAAACATAACATTGGAGAAATTAATGGATTGAAAATTGACAAATCCCTGGGACCTGATGATGTTCAACCTCAAGAAAGGGATGGCTACTGAGATTATGGATGTTTTGCTTATCTTTCAAAATTCTGTTAATTCTGCAATGGTGCCTGCATAATGGAATGTTGCAAATGTAAACCCCCTTTTACAGAAAGATGGGAAATAAGGAACTCTAAACCTGTTAACTTTATGCCAGTCATTGGAAATACACTAGAATCTATTCCAACGACATAATCACTGTATATTTAGAAAATAATTGTCTGATTGGACATAATTAACATGGATTTATGAAGGGGAAATCAAATCTGATGGAGTTTTTTGAGGATATTATTAGCAGAGCTGGTAAGGGGAAACCAGTGGAAGTGGTGTATTTAGATTTTGATTTGATTTGATTTATTATTGTCACATGTACCGAGATACAATGAAAATATTGTTTTGTGTGCTAACCAAACAAATCATAACTTACATAGTTACATCAGGGTAATAGAACAGAATACAGAATATAGTGTTATAGCTACAGAGAAGGTGCAGAGAAAGATCAACTTTAATATATGAGAGGAATGTTCACAAGTCTGATAACAGCGGGGAAGAAGCTGTTCTTGAATCTGTTGTTACATGTTTTCAAACTTTTGTATCTTCTGCCCAATGGAAGAGGGTGGAAGAGAGTATAACTGGGGTGGGAGGGGCCTTTGATTATCTTGGCTGCTTTCCCGAGGCAGTGGGAAGTGTAAATGGAGTAAATAGAAGAAAGGCTGGTTTTCATGACAGACTGGGCTGGATTCAGAACTCTTCATAATTTCTTGTGGTCTTGGACAGGGCAGTTGCCATACCAAGCTGTGATGCATCTGGAAAGGATGCTTTCTATGGAGCATCTATCCCATACCGGTAATTAGTAATCAAAATTTAAGTATTTAGGATTGGGGGTAATACACTGGAATGGATTGAAGGCAGGTTAACTGACAGGAAGCAGAGAGCAGGAATAAATGGGTTATTCTCAGGATCAAAGAGTGTGACCAGTTGGGAACTACTAGATCAGGTCTTGGGCCCTAGCTGTTCGCAATCTAATCAATGATTTGAATGTGGGGACCAATTGCAATATTTCCAAGCCCACCATTGATAGAAAACTTTCTTTTTTTAATTCATTTGTGGAACATGGTCATTACTGGCTGGCCAGCAGTCATTGCCTATCCTTAGTTGCCCTTGAGAAGTTGGAATTGTCAGTTGTGAAGAGAATGCAAAGGGGCTTCAAGGGGATTTAGACAGACCGAGAGTGGGTAAGTGCTTTGCAGATTGAATGTAATGTAGACAGGGATAAGGTTATTCACTTTGGGAAGAAAAATGAAGGTGAAGAGTTGTTTTTATGCAAAGGGGTCTTTGTGCGTTTGTTCATAAGTCGTTGCAAGATAGTGTGCAAGTGCAACAAGTGATTTAAGAGGCAAGTGGTATGTTCCCATTCATCAGGAGGGGACTCGAGTAGAGGAACAAAAACATCTTGCTTCAATTGTATAGAATATTGGGGAGGACTGCACCTACAGTATAGTGCCCAATTCCTTGCCTAAGGAGGCTATACATGGGCTAAATGGCTTAATAATTCTATACGGTATAGTAAACAATGTATATTTAGGTAAATACAAGAATTTGTTTTGAGTTCTGCAAGGAAGAGTGATGGGAGACAATTCATTTCATCACCCTGACACAGTGTGTAACTGTTTACCTGTAGTGTTATCACACTGATGTATCCAGGCAGGTCATGGAGCTGCTCATTCTCGCTGGGATGGGTGAAAACTCTTGTTCTGTTGAAAATTCCACCTTGGCCTAGGTACGGCTGGAGGAGAAGTGAAGGGTTGTCTTGTGTGTAATGGAAAACCGCCACAAACAGTGAGACCACGAGAATCAAACTCACCACAAGAATCAACTTCCTCTGTTAGGGGCGGGTGGGAGAGAGAAACAGGAAAATACTTGTTAGTCTGGACATGCAGCTGAAAAAGGATGAAATGACTTAAAAGAAATTGAGTCTATAGGTTGCTGGATGAAGGTATCCAATCACTTGAGACTACTCTGTCATTCATTTTGCACTTTGCTGGTCAGTATCTTAACTCCATTTACCTTACTCTTCAGTTATACAGGGTAATGATTTGGAGTTCTGGGAACAGTCCTGGTCACTGTACTTACCAAAGCATATAAGGCTAGGGGCCACGTACTTGAAAATGGGATTAGAATAGTTAGATGACTGTTTTTGACTAGCATGGATGTGATGAACAAAAGGGCCTTTCTCAGTGCTGTATATCTCCTCTGACTCTAAGGATGTCGATACATTGAAAGAATTTCAGAGAAGGTTTACTGGACTAATACTTGGAATGAGTGGTGTCTGGTCTAAGGAAAGACTAGACAGGCTGGGCCTGTATCCTCTGGGGCTTAGAAGAGTCAGAGATGACTTAATTGAAACATAGAAGTTCCTGAGGGGACTTGACCAGGTGGATATGGAAAGGATGTTTCCTCTTATAGGAGAATCTAGAATTAGGAGGCACAATTTTAAAATAAGGGGTCATCAGAGAGATGATGAAGTATTTTTTCTCTCAGTAGCTTGAGGGTCTTTGGAATTCCCTTCCTTAAAAGGCAGTGGATACAAAATCTTTAAATATTTTTAAGGTGATGGCCACGGGGATGGAAGATTATGGGACACATGCAAGAACGTAGAGCTAAGTTTAAAATCAGATCAGCCACGATCTTATTGAATGGTGGAGCACTATCGAAGGGCTAAGTGGCCTACTCTCATTCCTTCTTTATATGTATGTTTGTTTGACTCCTGGTTCTCTATAAAACTCTAGTTAGACCACACTTGGAATATTGTGTTCAGTTCTGGTCACCTCATTATAGGAAAGATGTGGAAGCTTTAGAGAGGGTGCAGAGGAGATTTACCAGGATGCTGTCTGGACTGGAGGGCAGGTCTTATGAGGAAAGGTTGAGGGAGCTAGGGCTTTTTTCATTGGAGCGAAGAGGGATGAGAGGTGACTTGATAGAGGTGTACAAGATGTTGAGAGGCATAGATGGAGTGGATAGTCAGAGACTTTTTCCCAGGGTGGAAATGACTATTATGAGGGGGTTTAATTTTAAGGTGATTGGAGGAAGGTACAGGGGAGATGTCAGAGGTAGATTCTTCTACAGAGGGTGGGTGTGTGGAATGCACTGCCGGCGGTGGTAGTGAAGTCAGATACTTTAGACATTTTGAAGCGACTCTTGGATAGGCACATGGAGGATAGTAAAATGTAGGGTATGCAGGGTAGATTGATCTTAGTAGAATAATAGGCCGGCACAACATCATGGGCCGAAGGGCCTGTACTGTGCTGTACTGTTCTATGTTCTCTATGCTCTATGTAACTCTCACCTAACAAGGATATATCGATCAGAGTTTTGAACCGAACACTAGGGTGGATTTTCTTCCCCTGCTGGGTCCTGGACGTGGGTAAGAACAAAGATTTGCCCCAACGTCATACATATGGCAAGTAGTTGATTAGAATTGTCGAAGGCCTCACTACGTCAGATTAGAAGTGGAAATTTCCAGTTAGCTTCTGGTTGCCCCGGCAACAGGGGCCGGGAAAGGGGTGGGCGCCCATCAGTGGTCGGGGGCAGGTGAGGGTAGGTTATACTGTGCTCCTGACAGACTGAAAGACCTTAACTTGTTTACCCCAGGGGGGTGAGAGCAGTCGCTGGTTACCCTGGAAAGGGCTTCCTTCCTTCACAGTGATATTTCAGCCGCATGGATCGCCTTTTGTTGGAGAGAAGGCATCTCCTCCATGACTTTGCGTGCTCTCTGTTTTCTTTCTGCTACTGCGGCCTGCTGCTTCTTTCAAACAGATAGGCCCCCAAAGGGCTCTCTAGAGGTAACTCGCTGCCAGTAATTGCTGGCAAAACTAGTGCCAGGCCAATAAAAAGGGGCCCTGAGAATATCCCAGCGAATGATGATATCCCTCTTTTGGCTGATTCAGGAAACAGAAGCAAGCTCCGCTCTGCTCCCGATTAGCTTCCAGCCTCTACAGCATCATTGTCAGTGAGAGACTTTCCGACTTTCCATGAAGTTGTGCAACTTCACATTCCCCCTAAATATCTCAACTCCAAACTGAAACCTTTTCATTCCAAGCTTCCATATTCCCCATACAAACTCTAGAAAACAAGGACTGCACCAACACAGTGTATGGTTCACCATGGTTGGACGTCACCATGCAGTTTCACCTCAAAATGCAGTCGCTGCAGTAAAGTGGTGGCTGCTTTGTATACAGCAAACAAAAGCAGAAATTGTTGGCAAAGATCAACAGGTCTGACAACGTCTGTGGGACGAAAGCAGAGTTAACGTTTCAAGTCCATTGACTTCCACAGAGCGGTGACAAAAGAAAATGATGGAAACTCTTGGACTTTTTGCTCATTCTCCACACACTTGGAACCTGCTCACTAGTGCCCAACACCAATTATAGGGTGATTTTTAAACTAAGTAATAGAATTAACTACAATGTTGTGATGTTTTTCCGCGTATTACCCAAATGAAAAAAAGAATGCAGTTTTGTATAGTTCACACAGCATGCCAAAGTGCTTTACAGGCAGTGTTGTAATATAGGAAAGGGAACACCTCCAACAATGCAGTAGTTAAGGGATTGCTCAAGTGAAGGCCTGGTTTATGTGTTCGTCTTTCTGGACACTTGAACTGTCAATCTTCAAAGCCACCTCCAGTTGATGCCTGCAGCTATAAAGTGAAATGATACATATTGAGGTCGAGAGAAACAGAAGTATGTATCAGGTGGTAATACAAAGTAAGTACCGTGGGTGGAGGTGGCTTCAATGTGACAGAACATTGAACATTTTCAGGACAGAGATAGATATATTTCTTGGTGTTAAAGGGATCTGAGGGTTGGAAAATGGGAACAGGACACTGAGTTGGATGATCAGCCATGATCATAATGAATGATTGAACGGAATGAATGGCCTACTCATAGAATTCCTACAGTGTGAAAGAGGCCATTTGGCCCATCCCCTTTGCACTGACCCTCCAAAGAGCATCCCATCCAGACCTCTCGCCACCCTATCCCTGTAACCCCACATTTACTATGGCTAATCCAACCAGCTTGCACAACTCTGGATACTACAGGTCAATTTACCATGGCTAATCCACCTCACCTGCTCCTATTTTCTATATTTCTATAAACACATTTGGACTGAATATTCTGTTACTGTGCCCTAAATTCCGTGCAACAGGCAGGACTGCAGCCCTTGACGAAATTATATTTGCACATTCTCAACAAACAAGGTCAGTCCACAATGATACTGCTGTCACTTTAGATGACAGTACCTTTGTACTCTTGTTCCCTTGACCCAACAATTGCTCACTCAGAGACTATGAAACTGTGAAAAGATTGATTGATGTTTCTGATGCTCTCTGTGACAGCCAAGGGCAAAAGCAAGATCAGTGATGCAGTGAGCTTTATTGAAAGTGGCAGTGCTGTACCAGCCTTGCAGGATATCTTCAGGGCATCTTACAGAGAGGGACACAAGTCTATTATTTCACCCTCAATGAAGTGCAGCCTCTTCATCCAGTGCTCTGTCCTTGAATACATCAGTCTTAGTTCAGTTAGTAACACTGTCGTCCCTGAGCCAGGGTTTTGTGGATTTAAATCCCACTCCAGAATTACATAATCGCAACTGATATTACTGAGTGAGTGCTGTAATGTCGGACATGCATCTCTGACATGAGGAGTTAAACTCAGCTGTCCACTCAAATAGCCACAACAACTACCAAGTCACTGTTTCGAAAAAAACAACAGGGAACATCTCCCCAGTGTCCTGGCCACCGTTCAGTCCATGATAAACTGTGCTGAAGATCAGATTATCTCACCATTATCTCATTACTGCTTGTGGAAGGACGTTCTTGATGTCTGGGGATTTCAGAATCAGGGATCAGAGTTTAAGGATACAGGATAGTCCATTTAGGAAAGTTCTTCACCCAGAAAGTGGTGAGCCCATGGAAATCTCTGCTGCAGAAAGTGGTTGAGACAAAAACATTGCTTGTTTTTCAAGAAGAAGTTCGATATAGTTCTTATGGCTAAAGGGATCAAAGGAAATAGGAAGACAGCAGGAACAGGATACTGAGTTGAATGTTGAGCCATGATTGGTGGAGAAGGCTTGAAGGGCCAAACAACCTAGTCCCTATATTCTATGGGATCTTTCTGTGCATGAATTGGCTGCTACTCATTCCAAACATCATGAGAGTGGCTGCGCACAGGCATGAGCCTATGCTATGTTAGAAACAGTAGATGTTGGAGAAACCCAGCATCTCTGGCAACGTCTGTGGAGAGAGAAACAGAGCTAACGGCTCGAGTCCAGTATGTGTAGTGATTGGAATCAGGTGGATCTCATTGACTACAAGATCCTTGATTGGAGTTGTTAATCTGGGTCAAGCAGGGGGCCCACACTGACTAATATAAACAGGGGATTCAGAATCTCTTCACTTCAAGGGACTGACTCTGAGCTGGCTGGTCACAACCAGCGTACTGGGCACAAATAAATAAAGGCTGCAGTTATTTCTGTACACCTCTACTTCGGAACTCCATGAGGTTATTATGTTGTAAGATCTTACATTGCTATCGAAACAACATGTAGTCTGTCACCCAGAAAGGAATGGTTAGGATCACCTCAGTGAGACTGTTCAAAGAGAAAAGCACTGCTGCACACACTGTCCAACAGGAAAACAGTGCTCATTAAGGAATGGACTTTGTGATTGCATTTATATTGTAAAGGAAGACTTCACAGTTGCAAAAGGTATCATGTATGGAAACAGGGAAGGAATAATAAAAGCAACAGTTTTATTAAAGGAAGACAGGTCAGAAAATAAAGCATTTGCAAGGCTATGGAAAAAAAAAAGATTTCTTTTAGTTC